TTTTTTATCTTTACAGTTATTTGCTATGTCTTTGAGGATGTTTTGTGTCTCTCCATGCTCTTCTTGTAGACATGATGTGTCTCTTTGTGGTAGAACTGCATCTCTTTTTAGTTCAGTGTTTCTTTGTGGGCATTCTGTGTACCTTTGTGAACACTATGTGTCTCTTTGTGGTAGAACTGCATCTCTTTTTAGTTCAGTGTTTCTTTGTGGGCATTCTGTGTACCTTTGTGAACACTATGTGTCTCTTTGTTATACAGTGCCTTGCGAAAGTATTCGGCCCCCTTGAACTTTGCGACCTTTTGCCACATTTCAGGCTTCAAACATAAAGATATAAAACTGTAATTTTTTGTGAAGAATCAACAACAAGTGGGACACAATCATGAAGTAGAACGAAATTTATTGGATATTTCAAACTTTTTTAACAAATAAAAAAACTGAAAAATTGGGCGTGCAAAATTATTCAGCCCCTTTACTTTCAGTGCAGCAAACTCTCTCCAGAAGTTCAGTGAGGATCTCTGAATGATCCAATGTTGACCTAAATGACTAATGATGATAAATAGAATCCACCTGTGTGTAATCAAGTCTCCGTATAAATGCACCTGCACTGTGATAGTCTCAGAGGTCCGTTTAAAGCGCAGAGAGCATCATGAAGAACAAGGAACACACCAGGCAGGTCCGAGATACTGTTGTGGAGAAGTTTAAAGCCGGATTTGGATACAAAAAGATTTCCCAAGCTTTAAACATCCCAAGGAGCACTGTGCAAGCGATAATATTGAAATGGAAGGAGTATCAGACCACTGCAAATCTACCAAGACCTGGCCGTCCCTCTAAACTTTCAGCTCATACAAGGAGAAGACTGATCAGAGATGCAGCCAAGAGGCCCATGATCACTCTGGATGAACTGCAGAGATCTACAGCTGAGGTGGGAGACTCTGTCCATAGGACAACAATCAGTCGTATACTGCACAAATCTGGCCTTTATGGAAGAGTGGCAAGAAGAAAGCCATTTCTTAAAGATATCCATAAAAAGTGTCGTTTAAAGTTTGCCACAAGCCACCTGGGAGACACACCAAACATGTGGAAGAAGGTGCTCTGGTCAGATGAAACCAAAATCGAACTTTTTGGCAACAATGCAAAACGTTATGTTTGGTGTAAAAGCAACACAGCTCATCACCCTGAACACACCATCCCCACTGTCAAACATGGTGGTGGCAGCATCGTGGTTTGGGCCTGCTTTTCTTCAGCAGGGACCGGGAAGATGGTTAAAATTGATGGGAAGATGGATGGAGCCACATACAGGACCATTCTGGAAGGAAACCTGATGGAGTCTGCAAAAGACCTGAGACTGGGACGGAGATTTGTCTTCCAACAAGACAATGATCCAAAACATAAAGCAAAATCTACAATGGAATGGTTCACAAATAAACATATCTAGGTGTTAGAATGGCCAAGTCAAAGTCCAGACCTGAATCCAATCGAGAATCTGTGGAAAGAACTGAAAGCTGCTGTTCACAAACGCTCTCCATCCAACCTCACTGAGCTCGAGCTGTTTTGCAAGGAGGCATGGGCAAAAATTTCAGTCTCTCGATGTGCAAAACTGATAGAGACATACCCCAAGTGACTTACAGCTGTAATCGCAGCAAAAGGTGGCGCTACAAAGTATTAACTTAAGGGGGCTGAATAATTTTGCACGCCCAATTTTTCAGTTTTTTATTTGTTAAAAAAGTTTGAAATATCCAATAAATTTCGTTCCACTTCATGATCGTGTCCCACTTGTTGTTGATTCTTCACAAAAAAATACAGGTTTATATCTTTATGTTTGAAGCCTGAAATGTGGCAAAAGGTCGCAAAGTTCAAGGGGGCCGAATACTTTCGCAAGGCACTGTAATTGTTTCACTTTGTAATTATTTAATGTCTCTTTGTGGACATGTTGTGTCTCTTTGTGGCAGTTTTGCATCTCCCTGCGGACACCTTGTGTCTCTTGTCCTTAGAGACACAAAAATCTGCCAATTCACTTCTCTTTATAGTCATGTTTGGACATTGTAATTGTTTTGTGTCATTTTATTTTTTTTTTTGTTGGTGAGCTCCAAGAGATAAAAGATATTGTATGTCTTGGAGAATATTTCTTATAAAAGTGTTAGAAAAAGTCGCATACTGTAGATTTAAGTAGCTAATATGCACAAATGGTCCTTTAAATCCTGTTTCTTGTTTGTGTTTGATCCAGGTGACTTCTGTGTACATGTGCACCAGGCTAATTGTCAACTTGTCTCAGACTTATATCTCAGTTTACCTCACCAACTCACTGATGTTGCCAAAGGTCAGACCAGACAGTTTGTATTCCTTCAATGACTTTTGACACTTATTTTGCCTCTGCTTGTGAAATGCTTCAATTTAAACACAAATTTCCTGCTTCTCTCCTCAGAACTTCATTGCCATCATACCTCTGGTGATTTCTGTCAGCAGCTTTGTGTGCTCTTTGGTCATGAAACCAGTCAGCAAGTGCATAGGCATCAATGTGAGTCTCTCACTGTTCATGGCTTTCTCTGGGTTTAGTGTCCAGGTCAGGCTTAACGGGAAGCTGAAGAAAATCTCCAGAATTATTTAGAGAAATGCTTTTCTAGTTTGGGTAAGCAACATCAGTGTCGGTCAGTATATGAAGGGAGGCCGACCATTCTGAGCCAGCTAGTTGAGCTGTGTGCCAGCAACAAGTCCAGTACTAGGTACAGTTGATAGATTCAATGAAATAAGCATTACACTGTCTTAGGTTTGAAGGAATTCTCAATTCTTTTGAGTTTTTATATATTTATTTATCCACTGTTTAGTTTAGTTGTTGTTTTGTTGTGTGCAGATGTTTGGTTCCTTGTCTGTCGCTTGATGGATAAATTAACAACTGGAAAGAAAACTTCTATTGAAGTGATATATTTTTGTTCGTTGACAGATTACCTATTTGGTTGGCCTGCTGTTGGTGCTTAGCTTTGCCATCTGGGCATATCTGGACAAGAACATGGGAGGTCAGCGCATCTATGGAGCGGTTGTGCTGCTAGGAGCTGGTTCAGCTACAATCCTGGTCATGTCTCTGTCCATGACAGCCAAGCTCATCGGGGAGCAGACGGTAGGTGGAGGGGAGCAAACCTGCAACAGTTCACAGATTTGTACAAGAGCTGTGAATTTCAAAAGTGGGGCTGGGCATGTTCTATATTTTTCTTGTTAACAAAAAAATTACATAAAAAGACCAAAACAATGAGTTGATTCTATCAGCAGTTGTGCAAAAATCTGGTTATTCCTCAGAGCAATAGCACTCCAATGTTGTCACAACCTAATAAAACATATAAATGTCACATTATCACAGTCACTTTCACAAAATGATTTTTTTTGTAAATAATTATTTATTGAATTTGATTAGCAGATACAACATAAGAGTTTAAGAATTTTAAGAAAGTACACAAAATACCCCAAAGACATAAAATCAAAATGTAAATGTTTGTTTAGTTTAACTGTGGTTAAGACAAACGGGGTTAAGAGAAACTTGAGCACAAGGCAGAAATCTAACAGCTACCTGTTTGTTTGAATCGGCTGGTCACAGCAAGCCTAACTAAAGCTCTACATTGTGATAAATGCATTCATGTGAATTGTAATATTATCAAACCAGTCAACTTGTCCTCTTACCACAGTGTCAAAGTCATGTTATAAGATACTTTGGTAAAGCTGTCAGCTGTGAAAGTAAAGTTTGTGCTGTTTCAGTCACAGCACATTTTACTGCTGCCTCATTTCTTCTCATGTCTCAATCTTCACTCATATTGTCCAAAATGAATGAAAATGCTGCCTGAGGGTTGATTGTGTCTTAATCCCAAAGAAAAAAAAAATCTGTGAAAGAAATGTGTGTCCTGATACTTTGCTGGAGTGACTTAAAAAAATCTTTGAACTCTGTCTTGTTTGGCAGCAAAGTGGAGCCTTTGTTTATGGATCAATGAGCCTCACAGACAAAGTGTCTAATGGTGTGGGGGTGATCATCATCCAGAGCATCCAACCATGCAAGTGAGTCTCTCTGAATATGAACCAGTATCTCCTTTTGACCCCTTGTCACTGCCAGTGTTTCCTGAAAAGAAGCAAAGACTGGAGAAAAATCTCTGAAAGCTATATTTTGTGTTTTTTATCTTTATGTTTGCTACATATTCTTTATAATTATTATTTAGTTGTGCACTTTATTATGTTCTAGCTTTCTCTATTCTAGTTTTATTGTAATTTTTGTTCTAACACCTGCATTTACCCTACAGCTGATCAATTAAGTAGGCTATTATTATTATTATTATTATTATCACTCATTGTGCATTTACTGCTTTCTGACTGTATAGGGCAGAGTCGACCTTTCACTTCTCAAACTCAGCAGCTCTTTCTGCTTTTCTGTTTCAGTTTGCTGTTCCCATTTCTTTTCCATTGTCTTTCACAGGACAGACTCGTACTGCCCAGACTGTGTTTGGTTCTATCGTGACGTCATGGTGATGGTAACTGGGGGTGTTGCTGTGGCTGCAGCACTTTGCCTGCTCACACTTCTCATCTGGCCAATCAGGAGACAACTAAATTAGGGTTCCCGATCCATGTTGCACTCATTGGTTGTTCTTTCATACCTGTGCACAGACAGAAAACAATTATTCATATCAGGGATTTAGAAATGTATTACATACATGATGTTAGAGGTAGGAATATTTTAGATTATGTGAATACATTGACTGTTTTAAAAACCACTATCGAAACATCAAGCTGCTTGCCAAGCCCAGATGTATTTAGGCTCTACAAGGCTCAGAAATAACTGAAAATCTGATTGGTTAGAGAGGTCAATACTGCTCAAAACCTTTTAGAAGCTAATATCGCTGCACTGCTGCCAGTGTTGTTCAATGAGTCTGGGTCACAGGAGGCTTCAACAGCACCTCTTCACATTAAGACAAGTTTTGGAGCTTATTTTTACAACTAAAATATTTGACAAAGTTGCATACTGTAGCTTTAAGGAGTTCTTAAACACTTGCTGCTGGACAAAGGAAACAGGGCAGAGGATAAAGCCATGCCACCATCTAGTGTATGGATGTGTAGCTACACTGCTTTATCTGAGTGGCTTGCAAAGCCATGAGGTTTCCAACTTGACACACAAATAGTTGGTGATTAGAAGAAGGCCCTTGAATGGAAATTCAATGCTGCACATAAGAAGATTTCAAGATATTATAGTTTTAAAATGCATCAAAATACTATAACTTTCATTGCCACCTCTGCTTCGGCTTTTTACTGTGAATGAAACCAAATGTAGTTGAAGTTGCAACAATGGTGGCTGTGTTCCAAGGAAGTAAACTGGGTGAACTTGATGTTTTATGTGTGTGAGGGACGACAAGCATTAGAGGTGCAGTAATATCTTCCTGGCTGTTATTATTTGTACCATTTGCATCACAGAGAAACTGCAGTGATTTGCACTGGAACCAAAGTGGCTTTTGTTTGAGTTGTATTAAACCCTTTATAATCTTGCCTTCTTTTACATTTCTAAATCATCCCATGTTTGGACAGTTTCAGGGTCACATTTTGTGTTTATTGTTCATGAGTCTCTCTTTTGCAGCGTCAGTTTTTAAATCACACAGAGAAAGTGGGTGTATTCTCTGAAAAGAATCAATTCCTACAGCTCGTGTGCTGCTCAGTTTTTTGTCTCATAAAGTCTGTATGCTCTTACCGAGGAATTCAATTAAATTTATATGTTGACACAAAAAACGTTGCAAATGGAAATTTCTGCTCAAGAACTATATTGTCTGGCGGACAAATAGTCTTCCGCCAAACGTCATTTGACTTTTTATTTATTTATTTTTTACCAATGTACTTTTGTTCATTTATTCATTATCTTCGATTGGGTGTATTAATGGAATAACTGGATCGATGGTTGCTGTAAACCGCAGATAGGAAGACCTCTGGTGGGTGAAACGTGGCGGTGCTATACGGCGCCTACAGGCGGGACAAAGCACTTGTTCCGTTCAGAGGCATTTAGTTGTCCATGAGGAAACTGTTGGCTCTGTCTCTGCCTGGGACAGGAGCTCAAGGCGGTGCCACGACTTTTAAAGTTATCCCCAGAAAAAAAAGGATTAATTTTAAACTTAACAGGTCTCTTTTTAGGGTCACATTTTCTTCAGCCGTTCTGAAGCTCTCAGTGGAAGGAAAGGTTTGAGGGGAAGCGAGGGTCAGACAGCGCGCAACTTTTCATTCCCCTTCATCGACCCTCAGGTAGGATTAAGATGGATCCAAGTGATTTTAATAACCATATCTAAAATTATTCTGGCAGACTAAAGCCGTTTAAGTGTGATTTATGGAACTGTACTCAGTCGTTGCGGTTAAAAAAGTAAATAATTAATCGAAAACAGGTTTAATAACGGAAGACTTCGACAGGTGGGATCCCTCATCTTGTTTTCCAGTCACTTCACACGTAAGCTAACACCGAGCACAGACAATCTATAGCAGCGTCAAACAAAGAAATCATTAGTCTTTGTAACCTCTATTATTAATTTTTAATCTCATGACTTTTTGAATTAGTTGTCTTAAAATACGTACTAGTAGAAGAAGTAGGTAGGCTTATCAGATTTTAGATGTTTTGCTTGAATAAAAGTAACATATCAGTAAAAAGTATTCATTGTTCCGAGTAACACTTCACAATGTATATAATATTATAGTATTAAACATGATTGTGTCTATTTCATGTTGCAGCTGATAAAGGTGGGACTATTTTAACTAACTACCTTATGGTTATAATCTGAATTACTGCTTGGTAGCTTGTGACTTTCCCACTAGGAATCGACAGTCTTATTATTATACTGTGTTTTATTTTATTAATGGGTTTGAAACTTAACTAGCAACTAAAGTAATCAGAAAGCCTAAATATAATGGAGTTTGAATAACGTTTTTGCATCTGAAAAGTAGTAAAGTCTAAGTATGAAGCAGCATAAAAGGGAAGTAACTAAAGTGCAGATACCTCAAAATAAGTACAAAGCTTGAGATTCACAGATTCAAAACCTGTGGGCAGCTCAGGCTGATGTTTTCAGGTGATGTTGGAAAAGCTAAATATCATTTTTTTTAATTGTTAAACTTGTTATTTAATCTGTTTATTTCAATCTGGTATTTTCATTGAATGGTTTGGTATGTTTCACAACGTTCTGATATCTTGTAAAAGAATTACACATTTCTAGAGCCCAAAATGACAATTGAAAGTGTTCATTTTGACCGACCAAGAGTCTAAAACCCAAAGATAAAAGGCTTAAAAAGAAAAAAAAAAGCTAATATCAACCCAGCAGCCCCAAACACTACACATCGCCATAATGACCATAAACAGGCTCAGTTCTTGTGTTAGTGTGCATAGTTGTGGTCAGGTATGTCTAAAACATTTGCAACTGAAATTATATCAAGCCATGTTTTTTCTTGCTCAGACGTTTTTTGTGACTGGGAGATTTTTCAGTAGGCTGTTTATGGGGCAGGAAGTCTTGTCTGACTCCTGCGAGTATGCCACTAGGTCCCACCCTACGCTGGGCAGGGGCCTAATTGTTTTTGACAGATGTGAGACATGTGACTGTGTTACTGAAATTCCATTATCAGCAGCAGATGATAGAGTCTCTGTGTTGTACTGGAGCTCAGGCTGTGGCTGGTGGGTGTTTATGCTGACCTGTGATTGTGGGCCAAACTCTTGAGCTTTCTGCCCAGCTTGAAATGAGATTTATGAGCCAGTGTTAGACAAACACTGCTGTACTACTTCTGCTCTTGGTGCCGCTGCTACAGTAAATGCTTGGAGAAAAAGTACATTGGACTTTTCCTGAATTAACAAATATCCCAAATAAGTAATGCTTTTGTGGTTGTTGACAATCAGTGTGCAAAATACAAGCACATACATGGTTCCTGTTCAGGTGCTGAGTCTGCTTGCAACTAAGGATTATTTTCATTATAAATGAATCTGCTTGATTATTTTTGATTCATCTTTTAGTTTATAAAATATCAGACTAGTGGAACATTTTGTAACAGCCCAAGTTAATGTCATCAGAAGTCTCATTTTAACTAACAGTTCAAAATCCAAAGTTAATCTGTTTACTATAAAGTTAAAACATGAACAAGTTGCAAATTCCTTCATTTGAGAAGCTGGAATTATCAACTATTTGGCATTTTTGTTTCATAAATGACTTATTGGAGCTCTAAGAAAAAAAACTGATGTGTCCCAAGAATCTGCACATCTGTTAAACACTGATTTTAGAGAATTTCTACTTTATGATGTTAAGAAAATTACAGCTTTTGAGTCCGTATTTCACCTCATTGGTAGGTTTAGAGGAGTTAACAGTTTAGATTTGGATCCACTTGTATGTGAAGAAACCAGTTTGGGCTCCAAATAGTGTACTTTTCCTAAGGTAATAAACTGAGCATTTAACGGTGTGGTAAGATCTTGACAGGTCTTGGTCTTCTCAGTGGAATTTTATTTCTTGGAAAGTGGTTGGGCCTCAGGTTATTTCCTGACAGTTATCAATATATGTAAAACTCCCAGGAGACGAGCAGCCAGGTGATTAACAATAAAGGACACCCGAAACCACTATGCATCCACCTGTCCTCCCCTCTTTCTTTCTCTTTTCCATCTCGCTCCGCTCAGGAGCAGCACAGAGGAGTCCTTGTGTGATCCTCACTGGACAGTGCCCCAATTTTCTTTCTTTCTTTTTTTTATACTGCGACTCCATGGTAACACTGTTCCAGTGACGAGCAGCCTTGACGTTTGCTTCTCCTGCTCACAAAACCAAAGGCAAGAAGTTATGGAGGGAACGAGGGGGCAGGGAATTGTGACGGGATGAAGGATATGGAGGAATGAGGGAGGAAATAATTGGAAGGTGTCTAGGATGGAGGCTCGGAGGCGAGACCTCTTCTGCCTAGTGTGCCAGGGTCCCATAAAGCAAAGAGAGTTATTACTCAGGGCTGTGGACTAGGGGTAGTGCCAGGGATGTCTCTCTTTCTCTCTGTCTGTATGTCTAAACGTCTTAATAGCCAGGCATTTTGGCCATAACCTCCATCACATTACTATGTCCTAGTTTAGTTTCACTAAATGTAAAGTACAGCTGAGGCTGATGGGGGTGTCATAAGTTTTGCCAGTATTTCATTATAAAAGTGAAACACGACCTGATGATGGTGCTAAATGTAAAGTTAATTAATGTTCATGGTTTTTATCCTGCACTCTTACTTTGCTGTTTTCCAAGCCTTTTAATTCAAACATGTAGGCAGCCAACTCCCAGTAGGGCTCTGTGGAGAATAATGGCCATTGTTACGGTGTATACACTGTGACCTTGGATATCACTTTGTAAGATTTGTAGCAGAAAGAAAACAAAACTTTTAGCTGGTGATGTGAAATGTTCAAAGTCTGAGTAGATTTGTGGGGGCTGGACAGAGACTCCTACAGCTCGGGAAGAGGAAGAAAAGGACAGTATTGTTGTTTTGCTGCACTCCCTGTCCTGGTACCGATGTCTCCGCACTGATTCTGACTTTACTGGTTCAGAGACCCCAAAGCTAAAGGCATTCCTCTAATATTTCTATTTTCAGTCAATATAGGAAATGTAAGAGTATAGTGATATTAAAATGTGTGATACATTCTCTGGTTTCAGTGAAACCTAAATTAAATCTGACAGAGAAATAACAAGTAGCACAACTTGTACCCTCATAAATCACACTCCCTTGGAAATGGTAAAACATTTACACTGTGCTACTAAGACAGTCACACCTAGCTTTCCCATATCTCTCCATGGTGCATTACTCATATCAGTGCTGTTGAAGAACAAAGCCTTACATCACCTCACAGATTTGTGCAGTACACTTTGTTCTCTCAGTTTTCCACAAACCTTTTTTTTGTTGTGGTGTTTGTGTTCACAGTTAGGACACCTTTGAGCAATGTTTGACAAGCAGCACTACGACAGTCCCCCTCTTTACAGTCCTCCTTTCATCCCACCATCCAACAATGGCTTTGGCCCTCCAGGAAGCTTCCATGGCCCTCAGAGTGATAACAACATCTACCCACCTCCACCTGGATCTTACTACATTGAGGACAAACCACAGCACTTCTACAAATGGCTGTCACCTCCAGGGATCATCAAGGTTATGCTAGCTGTGGTGATAGTGCTCTGTCTGACAATATTTGCCTGTGTGGCCTCCACCTTCATGTGGGAATACCAATATGGATACGGCACGGGACTGGGTTACTATGGCTCTGGGATGGGCTACGGCAGCGGTTACAACTATGGTTCAGGATATGGTGGTTATGGAGGCTATGGCAACTATGGCAGCTATTATGGCTCCTACATTTCACCTTACTCGGCCAAAACTGCCATGATTGCCATGGCAGCCATCGACTTCATAGGAGCACTGGCATTCTTCATCGCCACCTTCTCTAAATCCAACACGGTCCGCAGCAGGAAGTTCTTTCTGGCCCTCCTGGTAACCAGTGTCATCTTGGCTGTCCTCCAGGTAATACTCATTCACTTTTCACCTTTTCTACATTCCTCTTATTTATAGAGTCTTCTTGTGTGAAGAAAACAGTCCGTACACATAGCATAATGTTGGGTGAGCATTCCTGTGGAAGCCCAGTTTTAATGTTTGATGATGACCTATCATCAGGCCGTGTTGTCATAGCGTTGTAAAATGTGATAAAGATATTATAGTGATTCATTCATCAGGGCCATAAACATTTCCCAACAGAGGATCAGTGGTGTAAAAGTTGGAGAAAACACAACAACTTGCAAGGAGAAACAGACGACTATCTCCAGGTTCAGACTGAAGACCCACCTCTTCAAAGGTGCTCTGCTGTAATGTATTGTGGATGTCTAATCCACTGCTCTCCAGAGTTTAGCACCCTATATTTTATTTTCTACAGTGGGGACATTATTTCTAAAACATCTAGCTATTTTATGTATTTATTTGCAAGGGGACAAAAGAATAGCAGGAACCAATGCCACATACTACAGAAAGTTTTAAAACTCAACAATACCATACAATACAGAACGGCTCAAAACACAAAACCCAACAGTGGAAACATTAGCAGAATTATATGGGCATAAAGAGTATTTAAATGTATGTTTTTAAAAACCCTAATACTGGAACTTCGTGTACTGTACTCTGTTCAGATCTCAGTGTTCTTCTTGCTGAGTTAAAACGTGCATACAGATGGTTCATCCAGGATGTTTCTGTTAGTATATAATGTTACTGCAGCACTCATTAAGAGTACAGAAATCACTGCACACAAAAAGGAAGTAAGATGGGATTTTGTTTGTTAGTGAGGGTAAACAAATCAGGAAATAAGCAACTCACAGGCATGATGCAGGGCAGCTAAAGGCAGGGAGGGACTGGCAAATGACAGTAGATTTACAGAAGCATCCCGTAGTCCTTCAGGAGATAGCTACCACTAATCTAAGACCAGATCTTGTGCTGTGGTCAGAGGCACGGTATGGTGTGTATTTTATGCAGCTGACAGTACCATGGGAGGATGCAGTAGAAATGACCAATGAGAGATAAAAGCTTAAATATGCAGAGCTGGCAGCAGAGGCAAAGATGTGTGGTTGGAAACCTAAGACCGCCTAGGGGAGGTTGGTTATAGGGGTTTTGTTGGCAGATCGCTTTTGTCTCTGTTAACTGGGCCAAGCCTAAAGTAAGCAGTGAAATCATGGCCAACACTGCCGCCAGTTCCACTGCCTGTGGGTTAGAAGAAAGTGGTAAAGTAGGTGTAGTTTGAAGTCAGTAAGCATGAAGCAGAAGTGTGTGGTATGATTTTGCTGAAGAGGCTTGGCTGGTTTGTTTGATGAATTACTAAGCTGGGGTGAATATTGTTTGCTTAATATCGTGGCCCAGGATTCATGATGTTTAAGCATACAGTTAGCATGCAAGTTAACATGCTAGTTAGCTTAGCAGGCTAGTTACTGTAAGTAAATAGGTGCAGTGTGGACCATATACAGTCTGTGGTGTGGACACTGTTACATGCTAAGATGTTGCATGGCAGCTTGAGCACCATGCTGTCAGTGGTAGCAGCTTGATGTGTAGCTTAATGTGAAGTTAGCATGCTAGTGGCTGGTGATATTGGAGTGAACCTCACCTGCTATGGAGGGCCGTGGGTGCAGGTAAAGAGGGGGGTGGTTCTGAACATTTACCATATCAAGCACGATTACCAATGTGGATATTCTTAGATGTGTCCAACATGACTCCAGCTGATCTCCAACATATATTTACTAGTGATGGACTAGAAAATACTAGAGACTCAAAAGCTTGTTAGTCCAACATAAAAGTTGTTTCCTCCTTCTGCTGTATCCTTTGCAAATGCATGCTATTCAGTAAATCACTGTCACTGTCTTTGCATGATCTGACACTGTTTTAGACATATTTGAATGGAATACTTAGGAGTACTACTGTAAGTATTTTTCAGTGAGTGACTGACATGTTAAAGTATAATTACATATCTGTCTGACTGTCAGTGAATATACTAACTTCATGTGTGGTTTTTAGGGCATTATAAACATTGTCTACGTTGTTGGGGTGAACCCCATGGCCCAGAGCTCGTCCAGTATGATGTACAATCCAATGCTTATGATGTGCCAGAACCTCTACCAGACCGGCTACTCTCAGATGGGAGGAGTGGGAGGCTTCGGCATGTACAACCAGTACCTCTACCATTATTGCTATGTGGACCCACAGGAGGTTTGTAGCTTTTCCTTTAGATATTTTGCATATATCAGGTGGAGTAATTTATTCTACAGGGTAATTTCAGGTGGGTGCAACAGTCTAACAGAGGTCTTATATGAATAGATATGACATTGTTTTAAATTCACTAGGCTGTAGTTTTAAGATGCATGAGCAGTAACGGCCACACAATGTTATGCAAGATGTGAAGGTCTACACATATATTAATTAAGACTGCAAGTAACAGTTTAATCAATTTAGCATGTTTTTATTAGTCCATAACTGTTCATTCATTCATTAGTATATAAATAGTCAGAAAAAGTCCATCAAAATTGTCTTCACATTGCTGTTTTATTATGCCTAGCAGTTAAAATCCCAAATATAGTCAATTTATAAGTAAAAGAAAGAAGTTGACAGTTCTGCCTATTTAGTTAAGTAAATGATTAATTTATTACTGACTGTTCAGTAATTAACAAAATTGTTTCAGCACCAAATAACTGAAATTTACCTGGTTGGACTTTACTTGTGTATTTGTTTTTGTGGGACAACTGGTGTATAAAGCTCTTAAAATGTGGGATATGTGAGATGTGTGTTCAGGCTTTGTGGACAAGTTTTGTTAAAGCCTGCATATTATTAGTCTTGTATTGTATTGTTTGTAATGGTATCTTTTATCATTAAGTAATTTTTGCATTTTACTATATCTTGGGTACGTGGTGTCACATACCATTCTTGTAATGATGTCATACTGTGTGTGTATTTGTGTGCTTCACATACAGGATAAATCAGCTTTATCTTAGAGCTTATCTTCTTGAGAACTCTCCAGATTTTATTTTTGTATTTTTGCTTTTCTAGGGAATTGCCATGCTGTGTGGGTTCCTGGTTGTCATCGCCTTGGGTATTGCAGCTTTCTTTGCACAGAGAACTAGAGGGAAGATCTGGCGCTACGGGAAACCAAACATCTACTGGGAGGAGCCTCTGGTTGGAGGGAAGGCCTCAGAGGGCAGAGATGTAGAGGATTGGGTAAGACAGTAAGGTAGACACAGATTACATGGGATTTTTAAAGAAAAAAGATCACAATTCAATCCAGCTGAGTTTTTATATGCACAGCTTGTAGTCAAATGAACAGGGTCACAGACAGGCTAAATCCAGCCTAAAGAAAGTTGATGGAATACAGATTTCAGACCGACAGATTTGACTAGATGATGAAACAATCAACCACAGTGTGTTTTCTTTGCCATAGAAGCTTCACCAACCAATACTGATTGGCATATGCTGTTCACTGTCACCAAGTTGTGTGACTTCCTTTTACAGTATGTGGCAAATTAGTTTCCACCCATTTTGATTTGATTTGATTTGATTTATTTATTCTTTCAAACATGTAACAACAGTCAATATGTAACCACACATAATTCCAGACATATCCACAAATATATTTTCAATTTGCTTATACCTAGTACATGCTTGAACGGAGTAGGAAGAAGTTAGACTTATCTAGTCCTACCCCATGACATCATCTTACCATCATTGGTTTGCAAGCAGTATCTCTACATGGATACATATTCTACATCCACACTCCCATCTGATTAATCATTAAGCCTGTTCTTGCCCAATGCAAAGTAGGTATGAAGGTAGGTCAGCAGTCAGGTAGACATCCAACTTCAGTAGTCATCAGTTATGAAGACAGGTTAAGTAATTGCGATGATGTAGGTGCAGTAAATAACGGAGCCTTGCACATTCCTGACGTTGGTTTGTCACTTGTTTTGCTATTTTTAACATCACTTTTCCTGAATGCCTGGATGGTCTTTGTAATTTTGCTCACTAGTTTGTCTCTCGTATGTCACTGGTCTCAGTGGGCTGAAAGTCCAAAAGGAACATCATATATAGTTTTATCACTTTACAAGATCCGTCACACTACCATAAGAGTGCGTCTTCTGACTGAGTCACTTTGTTCAGGGTCAGAGCTGATTGCAGTCAGTGATTGTTTGCTCATGGTCTACTGCCTGGTTTCACTCTGAGCAATCATTAACCACCTGAGAAGATAGTGAGCAGGCAGGAGGTTTCTAGAGAGCCTGCTCTCGGTTGGCTTTTAAATGTCAACAACATGCTAGTCATATGAGACTGTTACCAGAGATATGAGTTGATTATTGACTTGACCTGCCATTTTTTAAATGATGCCTGTTTCAAACAGTGAATTGCAATGAGTTTACATCAAACATTCAGGTTTAATGTTTAATGGCAGTTGGACCTTCAGTAACCTAAGTTTGCAACAGCAGAGTATCTGTATACTGTTGTGAACATTTTTTGATCTTAAAACTAAATGGCACATGTATTGGTAAAATATGTCATTTCAGTGTGCTATAGTACACACTGTAGTCAGAGAAATGATGCATCCTCCTACACAGTGTTAAGAATGTAAATCATGTCCATGCAGACAGTACATACATGCCAACACAGCTTAAAACAATACACATATAAAAATATAAACATCAGGATTCATTTAAGCATGCAAGAAAACAATTATTAAACCAGAGTAAATACTGCTCGTCTACCCAGTCCCCACCAGCCAATACAATCATCAAAGGTTTTATAAAGAGCCAAAGGACAATTTTGTGATTCGGCCAATGGGACTCTTACAAAACCAGCCTCTAAATCTTCATTTGATAATTTTCTAAAACTTTATGCACAGAAGCTTCCTTCCTGTGTTCATGATATGATTAATGTAAATAGAAATGTTTCTGACTTAGATTTGATGGTAATCTTTGTGGTGTTTTAACTGGAATGCCTGGCTTATTGAAGGCTTTTAATACAGTTTTCCACCTTGCTCTGCCTGAGAGTGGCTGAAGAGACATGGTGTTATGTCGGATTATATAGAGCTGTTTGTTTTTGAGAGTGGTTGTCACTGCCTGGAAAATGGCATAATGTAGCCAGAGGTGAGCAAAGTAGATGAGACGAGCCCAGGGTGAATCCTTTGACTAGCACTCGTGTCTAATAATGGAGCCATGCTCACTGATGTCATCTGACTTATTGTAGGCACAGTAATAAAGTGTATGCTGTAGCTGCTATTAAATACTTATCGAATCTCGACATTCTTCATGTAAATACTGCTGTAACAAAGAGTAAGAGATACAATATGCTTAGTGGAGGGAAAAGCAAAGAATTTCCTGTACTATATCTTCTACAGAAGCATGTCTTCCAGGTTACTGTATTGTCATATTGATTGTACTATGGTCATCATATGCCTTTATGGGGTTTCAATAGCTTGAGTAAACTAGATGCTTCATTGCTGCATCACCTGCATAGTACTCTACATTCGCATCTCAGAATGAGTCATCAGGCTTGTTTTGCTCCAGTAAACACAAGGCTAGTGACAGTCAAAGGCTGTGGTTGGTTTGAGATTGGGGGGAGGGCCTGTCTTACTCTGAAGACCTCACACACTGGCCTCATTCAGCTCAGGGAGGCGGGCTGCATTGTGTCTGCTGCATGAGGTCACCAGCATTGGTTTCTGCAGTGTTGTCTGTGCACTGGAACCACTGAAGTGCTGCACAGATGAAGAGTGAGACATGAATTAAAGCATCCATGAACTGTAAAGAGTGGATGTAGTTCTAAGCAGCAGTAGAACATGGTTGTAGGTAGCATAAAATAGTCTAGACAGGGAGTCTACACACAAAGCACACATAAACCACTCACTTAAAATAATCCAAGAATACAGACTTTAGAAAATGCACAAGAAAAAAGAAGAAACAAAGTTAGTAAACATTTTACAATGTTAAGACATTAATGAGGTGAATTAATATTAAAATTGCCATTGTTATTTGAAAATTTCATTCTTTTAAGTTTGAATTTCAATATGGGAACAACTAATTATTCAGCCCTATTTTAGGGCTGTTTGCAGTAGTTTCACTACAGACTTCATATAATCTGTCTGTCATTTACTGCTGTGAGGTTTAAAATGCTGTAAAAGCTTTCTAGGATTGATAAACACATGTACCATAATCTTTGGTGAAGCCCGCAATTAACTGTTTTTTGTTATTCAAGCTCTCATTTTATTGCATACACAAATCTCAGTCCTTAATTTCTTTGTTTCTCCATCACGACTCTGTCCTTGCCACTCCTCTATATCTTACGCTTGCATGCTTCTCCTTAATTCCTCTTTCCTTTATCAGCATTCACCATTCTGTCTCCAGGTCTCTATTTGCTGTCTTGCTTTGTTTCAGCTGGTTCAGGACTCTCAGACACTCGTACTATTGTCACCACTCTTGTGCTCACATACTCTGCTCACAGCCCAGCGGTCCCTAACAGGGCACTGTTGGGATTCTTACATGACCTGCACTCATCAAAGGGGATCCTCCTGCAGCAGCTGCAGCTCCACCTACCCCAAGCACTCCACCGACCATGATTATTGTTTTTTTAGGCCTAGGCTGATGTTTCAGCTCTGCTCCTGCACTGTGAGGAATTTGGGAGATTGCTTAGTGATGCACCACCCAAGTCAGCAGGAGAGTGGAGGTTTTGTAAGGGTTTTATATAGTTTTGAAATAATTAAATCTAAAGTTGAATGATTTTCAGAGACATGCATTCTTGTTTTTGTATTGTTTTCTTATAAAATGAAGGATTTTAGTTGTAGTCACCTTCTTGATGAGGTTTTAGGGGTCTTACAATCCGCTTTGTGTTGCTACATGCGAGGTAAAAAAACAAACACAAAGGGTTTCTGCTAACATTTAAGCCAGTTAGTGTTCCAGGTAGTAGAGTAACGGACCTGTTTAAAGTTTAGAAACTACTGCTTTGTGTCGTAAAAGACATCTATGGATCGATACATTTACTGGAAGAAACCGTCATCACCCCTGAGGCCTCTGTTGAGAGGAATTCCTGCATGTAGGCCATCTGACCTTACAGGAAGGGCTTGAAAATACAGATTAAGATGAAGTATTTACATGACGGACACAATTTCCTTTGTTTCTGAAGAAAGAAAGGAGTGCATCTTTTCCAGGTGGTCGAAGTCGACAATGCCGGGAAGTGAAAGCAAAACAGGAATTATTGTCTTTTATGTTCTGTCCCTGTTTAACATCCTTGTAACTAATCATTTTAGGCTATAAAACTGTCAAAGACTTGAAATACAGTATAGGAACGCTTCATCACATACTGTAAACAAGGTGAGGAGTTGAACTCTTCTGTTCAGTTTTATGCCTCTGTGCTCTTTCAGACTTGAAGCACTACTTACTATACGCTCTCGCCCTGGTGTAAAAAAGGAAAGAGAAGAAGTGTAAGGAAGGTGTTAAAAAGACTTTGTTAATAAGATGTCAGTAGGAAAACAAGCCTGTGGTGCGGCCTGCTCTCTGTGAATGTTTCAGTTGTTTGTCTTTGCTGAGTCTGCTCCTCTTGTTTTTTCCTGCCTGTTGTAGGTGAACAATGTGGAGGAAAGCCATAGTGTTCAGGACGCCCCTACCCTGCTGGTGTCGGAGAAGGGAGGTGGGGTGCTCAACGTCTCAGCGAACAGTGTCATCTCCTATCCCCCAGCCAAGGTGGACATCGGCTCCTATAATGGGGACACCTTCGACAACAAAGAGTGGGTGATCCTGTTTTCATGTAATGGGTTCTGAACAAAGCTGTGAAGAGCTACTAAGATGTGCTGAATACACATTCACTTTTCCAGTTATTCCATTATTATGGAGCATTTTAATGTGAAAATATGCAAAACGATTTGCTTCCATATATATTTTGTATAAGCTGTAACAAGAGAACTGGCCCAGTGAGGTTAGAACCTGTAAAATGTTTTTACTGTCTTTAAGAAATATTTCAGCTGAGAATGTCTTGATGGAAAGGACCCTATTTGAAATGGGTGTTTTCTTAAATATTAATTTTCTATTAGCTGCAACATTTGAGTCTGTTCACTGTAAAGCAAAGACTTCACACTGTCACATTAACAGTTAACCTCCAAACAAGTGACTCGCAAGCAAACTCTTAATTGCTGCTCTGTGTAATAGCCCATGGAAACATATTGCCGTGCCCACAAAGCAAAGGCTGTGTGTGAGCTTTGGCCCTTGTTGGATTAACTATCCCTTATCGTTTTTCCTCCTGTTCATAGAATTCTCTGTGGACGGGAAAAGCAGGATGTTTGTGAACTAATGTATTTGCTTTAACTCAAAGCTAGAATTTAGTTCTGAAGCACCTTATTTTTGTTTTCATTAATGCCGTCCATTCTGCAGTGTGTGTGACTACAGTACATTGCTCGTTATTTAAGTCCATCTTAGCCTGAAGACCTGTGGTGTCCTCTGTTGTTGACATAATGCAGTCCTCTATGACTTTGTGATATCTGTGCTGCTGGACTTGGATTCCTCTACAAATCCCTACAAAATTTAGCACGCCTCCACCTTGTGTTATTCAAGTGCTGTACCTGCTTCCTAGTCACCGACGACCTTCACACGGCACAGAGTCAAATTGTAGGGTGTGAGCAACAATAATCACTAGTGGCTCAAAGTGTGCACCTTCTTCCATATTGTGTCTGTCTGTGTAGTTCCTGGTGTTATATGGGTCCTGATATTCATGGAGCATTTACTTTCTTGGAAATTAAAATACCAGCCTGTAAGATGTTTCCTATATTATACTCTTTTATGAAAATGTCTGAATTCAGTGGTTTCAAGGCAGCAGCTGGTTAACTCAAAAAGTCTGAAAGCAGGGGATGTAGCAAAACCTCTAAATCTCCCAAACTGACTCATTAAAATAATGATGGTAAAATAAAGACCTTTTTACAATAAGTCACCCTATTTTGTAATATTGATGTTTCATGGAGATTTTTGCCCTGTTCTTTATTATGCACATTCTTGCACATTCCCCCCATACTTCAGGTTTTGTCAAACTTAAGGTTTTGTACATATTAAACAGACAAGGTGTATCACCTTAGTTAGTGGGGTTTAGCTGTATTTATTCCTTTTGAACAGAGCCAGACTTCCTGTTTCCTCCTTCCTCAGTGCTAAGCTAAACACACATGCAGAAATCTCTGATGTGAAAAACCCAGACTGTTCTGACTTCAGATAATAGTGTGTTCATGTTGCTCAGGATAAAAACTGATTGTGAAAATAAGTTTTCATGGTCTTTGAACTTTATTCAAGTCTTTCCTAAGACATTATGGTCACCATCAACTCTTCTCAGTGTAGGCCAGTTGAAGAAGGCGTCTCTGATATTTTTTCGCTGTCCTGCAGGTACTCTGAGAGGACCACCAGTCAACCATCAGAGGCCTTCTACCAAGGTGGAGGGACCAGCTCCAGCCCTTCAGACGAGACAGGCGGGTACCGCAAACCCTCTGCCAACAGGGGCAAGAGACGCAGGAGAAACCCAGAACTGGACGAGTCTCAGTATGATACAGAGTACACCACAGGAGGAGAGACGGGCAATGAGCTCGACATGGACGAGTGGGAGAGGTGGGAATTAAACTTCCACGGCTCTGCTGTTATATCTGCATGCAACTCTCACACAGTCTAGATTAGAGAAGGACATGTCATTAGTGAGGAGCTCAGAATGTAGGTTGCAGTCAAAATACTGTCACTCCCTCAGGATCAGACCTAAATTCTCAGATTTAAATGAATAACTGAGCTCAAACAACCAAGCCCACATGGGAGTGTTTTGATTTACAGAAAAATATAACTAGAATATTTTTTGGTTTGAAACATGCAGATAGAGAACAGTAGATAAACAGAAAAGAAAATAAAGCATGGAAAAAGCTATAGTCTGTCCAGGAGAGTGGCTAATCCTCTGAGGCATGCCACTTTACATGGGCTGTACTCAGGCATAAGGAGAGAACTGGGCCAAAGGTATTGTACAAAACATGGGAGCCCATGTAGTTCAGGAGAAAGTATTCCTATTTGGCTGTGGTTGGATTCACCCACACTTCCACGAATATCTCTGAGGGAGACATCTGAACACCTCCACTGTGTTCCTATAGTTCAGTAGTATATCTGATAACTTCAGTGAAGGGTGTAGGGTGTGATTTTCAGATCTTTCTAGTGATTGATGCATTTTTGTCTTTGATGCTAAATGTCTGCTTGTATTTCTCTCCTCTTCTAAATCTGCATCCTTTTCGTCTCGTTCCTTCTTCTTCCTCCAGCATATATCCAGAGATAACGTCTGATGCTCAGCGTCATGATTATAAGAGAGAGTTTGATTTTGACCTCAGGGAATACAAGCATCTGTGTGCTGAGATGGACGACATTAATGATCGGTTGAACAAACTCAGCCAGCAGCTGGACACGCTGGATGACACCTCTGCCAAATACCAGGTAAGATATACATACTACTCACCTCCAAAGTAGTACTCAGTACTCACCTGACACAAGCAGAGCTTTCCTTTTTAAATATTTTTATGAATGTTTCTCAAAAAAATTTACTTCAAAATACTAAGTTGCAGCATATCCCCCTTATCCACATCTAGTGTCTAAACCTGTAATAAAAGCATGATGAGTCTTATCCAGAAAATGAAGCCTGTTTGTAGGGGGAGAGGCTCTCATCTGCTGTAACAGACACGCTGTCATTTCACCCTTAATTAAGAATTAAGATTCTTTTGTGAAGCACCAGAGGACCTTAACTGAAATATAGTGACAGATTAAAAACTGATAATAAATGCACAGTTTTGTCATAACAGCACTGACCTGGATACCTAATGATGCTTTAGAGAGTTCTTCAGACTCTCTCTCCTTCCTGCTTGTGTGGTTCAGCATTTTATGCTGAAGTCATAACTTTCAACAATCTGTACAAATAAATTCTCTGTCGCGTCAACTAAAATGTGCCCTGTGTCACCTGGCAACATAGTGTCTTGAACATCTCACTCCTGTATCTCCTGCTACCTGGCTCTATTTTGAATAGCAGTGAATAGATGCACATGTGGCTCAAAGAGACACAGAAAGGCTTGAAATCTATTCCTTCATGCTTTACAAAAATCACTGATCATCAAGGTCCTGACTGCGCAAACACTCTGACAAGACAACATTTCTTCAGTGCTCAGTTTGTAAGGGAGGGAGGGACATAAGGGAACTGTGATCACCAGTGCTTTTTCCTTATATTTCCAAAGGCTGCGGCAGAGGAATATAATCAACTGAAGGACCTGAAGCAGGTGAGGAGACATTTGTGATATTACTGTCTATACATCTACATTATTTGTGGAAGCATGACCAATTTTGTTGTAAACATCCAGCTACAAAATCTTTTCTCATTAATTATTAATATTCTTTTGAACATTAAACAAACTGAATGTAATTGCTTTGTGTTGTCTCTACATTTTCCTAGGTAACAATCTATCATAGAGCTTTTATTATCGTTTATAATAAGATGAAAAACACATGTTGTTACCCTGTTTGTTAGTGCCAGATGACTCTGATCTCTGATGTGCACTATCTGTCCTGTAGACATCAGACTACCGGTCTAAGAAGAACAAATGTCGCAGGCTGAGACACAAACTGTTCCACATCAAACGCATGGTGAAGGATTATGACAAGAACAACTGAATCCACCGAGTTCCTGACTCTCTGCTCTGCAGTCTACACAGCAAACACTCACTGACACAGGCCAAAACACACTCCAGAATACTGCAAAGACTCTGACACGCTGAGACCAAAGCTGATTGCAGGGCACCAACACACACACACACAGGAAACATACTGCATTAAAGATCTAGTTTTCTTTTATTCTCTCTGAATTTTCTGGAAGCAGGTCCCTCACTTGTAGACATTTCCATAGCAAACACTGCCGTTTTCTCAAAGGTCCAGCTTGTTGTTTGCAGTGTGCAACCACTTGCTGGTCTTGAAGAAAAGTTGTTTAAAGGTCACCTGACGTTCAGTCACCTGTGATTAGACTGCGTTTGGTTTCTGTGGCTCCTTTTGCTGCCAGCTTTTCTTTATCTCCACAGATAAGAGCTGGAACAGTATTGTAGAGAATATAGTAATGGGTGTCATGGGTTTCTAGGATTGTCTGCGAGCAGTTTCATTTAACCTTTGACATGACGTTAAGTTTGTTGTAAATTAACTGTAGTTGTTTGTTTCTCTTGTGTCCATGTTTGTAAGTGACTTCAGTGTGAGTGAACTAAGCTGTTCTCTGCTGGGACCATGTGTATTTTTCCCATATACTGGCTTTTTGTCTAAACTAAGGTCTTGATATGGATTGTAATAAATGCAATGAGACCAAAAGGGGACAAATTGGCCAGTAACATACGTATGTGTGGCATTGGCATATTATATGTACTTTTAATGAATCATGTGCATGCTATGATTAGCGGAGCTCATCTTTTCATTTGATTCTTTACCAGTGAAAATGATACGTGGTCATTTTTGTATTAATCCACATCCAAAGTTCTCCGATCTACTGTTCATTATAAAACTGTTTAGACAAACTTTTAATTTGTATTTTTTATAAAGAACATCATTGTCATTTGCGAAATATTGATTTTTGGAAGTTTTTTTTTGGTGCTGTTATGAAACATTCTTTTATAACTATATACTTCTAAAGGTATGGTATGTAAATAGTATTGAATTCAGTAAATAATAAAGATTTCTAATTCTCTAAACATCATTTACCCCTTTTTAAATTTTTTTATTTCTTGCATGTTCATCTGATCCTGGCGACATTTGCAGCTCTGTATAACTTCTGTGAGTGTCCGGAAGATGTTTTCTTTGGCCAGTAAACACTATTGGTTCCAGTTGTTGAGCCCACTGATCGTAATATAAGCTCTTACTGCCCTCTGTTGGTAAACTACACTGAAAACCTTTTGCCACTGTAAAGCTCTTCAGCATTAGTCGGTTTCTGTGCCCTGTTTAATACTTATGGCTGCAGCATTTCCTCTTAATTGTCATAGTATACTGTTTATGCAGTTAGTATGCAAAAAAAGTACTTTATGATTTTATACTATCAAGAAATTATTAGCACAGCATGTGCTGCTAATACTTTAATCCTCACATTTAGTATTTATAAGCACAGTATAAAAATTATTAAATGGTTTATAAGACTTGTGTTGTATGCAGCTTTAGGGACATTTTATTAAAAAAGTTTAATATACAGTAAATTTGGTTTAAACTTCACAAAATGTAATGCTTACGGGCGAATTTCGATTTTTCTGCAGCTGTTCCACCATTATGTCATTTTCAATCTGTGAGTAGTGCCTCCCTTTCTTTTGTGCATTGCATTGTGGGAAAATACCATGAGAATAGTATCATTTTAAATGTATCCTTTATTTAACCTGGTAAACTCCCCATGAGGTTAGCAACCTCTTCCCCAAGAGAGACCCTGCCTGACCTTTGTCTGAACAACAATACAAGTCTCAAAAAATATTTTTATTTAAGTAAATATTCTGTCTAAACTAATGCAAAACACAGAAGGGCAGAGAATTCTTACGTTGTGAAGGTGGGAATTGCAAATATTTCTCAAATTAGCTTGATTAATTAATTGAATATCAAAATTCCTGTTGATAAATTTTCTGATTCAACTAATTGTTTCAGCTCTAATAAGTAACTTGGATGTTAAAATTGCTGGGAAAGTTTTTCTGATTCTTGCGTTCTCACAGATTAACGTGTATGCTTTGACTCTTTCAAAGAAGGAATGTGCATACTTTTATTTCTAGTAATGCAAAAATAACCAGTCAGCCTTTTACACTTCTTGTTTTTTGTTTTGGTATGGTCATAGAAACGTGATTCTTTGAAAAGTAAAGTTACACACTCTGATCACTGTAGTTTATATTTCAACAAATAACACAAAGTGACAAAGTGAGACATGATGAGCCGTTGAAGACATTGACGGCATCAGGGATCATGGTCATTGTTGTCTTTATAACAGATAATACAAAAGCGTTTAAAACATATTTATCTCTGCATTGTCTTTTCGTCAATTATGACAAGCCAAATATTTATCACACTGAGCTTCAGGTATTGGCACTAATCATGAGCTGCTTAGTATCCTTTATCTCCATACCTCAATGCACACCGTACTGTACATTGAATATAAAATATAAAATGAACTCGCTACTCTCATAAAAGCAAAAGGAAAGGTCGGGTTTGTAGAAAACATTTTTCACTTGACTCAGGTTTCTGTAAATGACCGGTCCAACTTTACACTTTCTTGAGTCAAACTTTGTATTTTAAAACATTTTCAAACATATTTTAGCTAAACTATGATGGACAGTCAGGCCTGTAGTGATTACTACTTATGTGACAATGACACCTTGATCCCTTCATATTTCAGCACATGAATAGTTCACTATACAATCTCTGATGTATAAAACATGAGGTAATGATGTTAGGCAGGAAGGTGACTGTCTAAGGAGCCAGAGTGTGTTTGAGTAGCCTTCTTTTGATTATTACTGTTATGTTATGCTATGTTTAAAATTAATTGGTCAACCTTATGGGAAATAAGCTTATTTGCTTTCTTGTTGAAAGTTATGGAAGAGGATTGACACCACTCTCACACATATCCACTCAATATTAGGCTGAATCTAGCAGCTGGTTAGCTTAGCTTAGCATAAAGACTCATAACAGCAGGAAACAGCTAGCCTGGCTTTGTCCGGAGGTAAAAGAAATCCAAAACAGAAACGTTGACAACAAAAGTTATATCTCTGACAAAAAAGAGAGCACAAACATCAATTCATTTGTTTACAGGGGTTATGTGAGAAAATATTCTTCAGTTGCTGCTGGTTTTCTAGCCAAAAAAATGTCCTGCCCCACTCCCTCTAAAACAGTAAATTTGCTTTTTTCACAACTTGATTTTTACACAGAGCAAGAACAATATGGCATGTTAAGTAGCAAGCTTAGCATTGCTGGAATGTGGACTTTGTTACCTTGGGATACAGCCAAGTTAAGTTTCCTCCTGTTTCCAGTCATGCTAAGCTAAGCTAACCAGCTGCTGGCTCCAGTGACATACTTACTATGCACTCTCATCTAACTCTGAGCAAGAAAAGAAAAAGATGCAATGCTCAAAATGTTGAACTATTCCTTTAAGTATATAATATACAAAACTCCTTCTTGTACAATATACAATGCAATTTCCATGTCTCTTCTTTGTTTAAATGCTGTACTGTACAGGTTGATACTTTGCAGTCTTCACAAATACTTTTGGTAACAAACTCTGATATTTCATTCCACTTATCAAATGTTACACATCTTAGGAATGATCTGCACATCTTTAATCAGTTAATGACATAAATCTGTGAAGCTGCCACACTGGGCCAGCTCTGTGCATAAAAGTGGCACTGCAATGGCTTAGTTTTGACTCATAAACAAAGCAGAGAACACACAGAGCCTGGGTTCAAACTGAGTCACATTAGGGGGAATATGGGAGGAGGTAGTATAGGCATGTGGCCTCATGTTAAAGTCTGCATTTTAATTAAAGCACAGGTTTTTGTCCAAAATGAGACTGAGAGTGATCACATGAAGGTCAGAGAAAACTAACAAGTGCTGCAAACATTTATATAAAGACAATCATACATTTTGTTTCCCTGAAAGCAGCTTGCTGTGACTCCCACCACTTTACAGAGCCAATGTCAGAAAAACTGACCTCTACACTCACAAACAGGACCTAAAATACCAGTTTGTATTTATGATATTTTGTTTGTATGTGTATGTCATCTTTGTGAGCTCTCTGTCCTCCTCATCTGATCTCAGTGGTCTCACTCTGGAGTCAGCCGGGTTCACTGTCCCTGTGAATAGGGCCAGCTGATCGAGCTCCCCGATAACTGCATGTCTCGGATCAGTGTCTCGATGGGCGTCTTGCCCACCAGCCGCATGAAGAAGAGTTGCGAGATGAGGTTGGCCGGCACAGCGCGTAGAGCCGGGAGACGCAGCAGTAAGCGGCCGAAACGCTGAGGCTGGCTGGGGTACTGCAACCTATCGTATTCTGCAAGAGCAACCTGGGCCTTCTCCTGCAGGGACTCCACATGGGCTGGGTCTGTCAGACCGCATGCATCTGTAAGGCAAAGAAATAGATGATAATATCACTATTTGAATTTTTTATTGCTGTGTTATTGCATATTTTCTATTTTACACTTGTGGCTTCTTTACTCCTATGCCAGGCTTTCAGTCTTTATGCTAAGATAAGCTAATCATCCTCTAGCTATAGCTTTATATTTTATGTGATGTCAATCTTCTCATGTAACTTTTGGCAAGAAAGCAAATAAGTGCATGTCAAACTGTTTCTATAAAGTAAATTCTCTTAATCCCCATTCAGTGAGGTCAAAGGCCACATTATCCTTATCCTTATTCAGTCATATCAAAGGATCCCTGGAGCTGATAAGGATTATCTATCTTAGGGCCCAGAAACCTAAACCCTGTCTAATACCTCACGCAAGACAGTTTTGTTTTGGTTATTTATAAAGTCACTCTGGATCAGTTTACAGTAAAGATATCCAGTCACAGGTACCATCATCACTCGGATAACCCTGTGAAAACCCTAACACACTCACCAGGTGAAAAGAGTGCAATTGCTTTGAGGCAGCTGTACTCGGCTGAGTCCACATGAAGCCTGTTCAGCTTGTCCACCTGGTCCTGGAAAACCCTGACTTGGTCCATGAAGGACACCACGTGCTCGGCAGACATGGGAGATGAGTGAAACCCGGCTGCTGCTAGCAGAGGAGCCGTCTGCAGAGGCAGAGCAGACTGAGCAGCGTTTAGGATGAACAGCTCACTCCAGCTGAGCCTCAGCAGCGCCACCTGTGGGTACGATTGGGAAATTTAAACAGGGTCACCGAGTAAGTGGCCCCAACACGCCTTTGTCATAGCAGACATTTTGACATGTCATATTAGGAAAAACAGAGATGTTGCTAATAAGATTACTGATTTATTAAAGTATGCCAGCAAACCGTGACCATGAGCAGATAAATGGAATTCAGCCATTATTCATTTATTATTTACACCTGCGCTTTTTCTACAGTGATGTGTCAAAATGTCATCTGTGGGAAAAAAAAGTAATCTGTGGCTCATAAATCTGAGGAGCTGTGAGATGACTAAAGTGACATGAAACAGTAATAATTAGCATACTGTATCTTTATTTTTTTAAAAACCGTGTTGTGGGCTTTTGCATTTGAAGTTCAGCGCTTGTTTAAGAGATAATTTTGTACTTTTTTTTCCACCTTGCATCTAAATTTATTTTATGAATGGAGGTAACTATTATGATATTAAAGCTATAGTTTGTGGTTCAGGCTGAGAAGATAATTTTACATTTAAGTGCTGACTTGTGTTGTTTAAGCTGTGCATGAAAATGTATTTACAGCTGAATTTTAGAAAAATGGAGAAGTATCCAGGTGTGTCTTGACTGACCTGCTCTGAAACTGGGAGTTCTGGGAAGTATGGGATGTTCCTGGCCCACTCGATGGTGCTAAAGAGCAGCCGTGCAGCCAGCTCACAGATACTGTCGATTCCCATGACCGACGCTCCGCTCGCAGATGCCTGCATCTGTGCCTGACTGTAAGGGGCCCCGTAACGGCTGCTGGGATATGGCTCTGCCCGGAGGAGCTGGGAGATGAGCTCTGAAACAGGCTGTCCGTTGAAGTAATCTGCCCAGGTGTGACCTGGCCCCGCAGCCCCGGCTCCACCTGCCAAGGAGTTTGGGCTGATACCTGAGTGAGGGGGAGGGATCCGACCCCGCTGGACAGCTGCAGAAGAGAGAGAAGACAAACACCTGGATGAGAATCCCTGTAGATGTGCCTTACACTCCACAGTGTAATAACATATAGGACAGTTAAATGGCTAATGAACAGTTATTACTACCACTGAATAAAACAAAGCCTCTCCCCTGCTCTCTATTGGCCTTTAACATATAGAAAAAAATACATATCCCTCCCCATTCTATATTTGCCCTTACTGTCCTAGATTTTAATCAGCACTACTGGCTGTTTTAACCTGCAGTGATTTCATGTGCAGTTTTTGTGGCAAAAAATATCTCACTAAAGAAGTCAGTAACTGCTTCCTTTAATGGATTATAAGTGACATTTCCAGGTAAAAAAACAACCTGCGTCATGGCCACAGTCAGCATAGTTCATTAATCACTAGCCTTAATATAACCTCTGGAACACTGTGACCTCAGTACACATTATGACACCGACTGACCATCGGGTTAGGTTACACAAGAATACAGCTGCAGACTTCACACTGTCCGCCGACATAATACAGAATATGACCACCAATATCGCCAAGGGAGATGGAAATCATTGGTCTATGATCCAAATCAACCATGCAGAAATAAAAAAAAAAGAGTAATTAATTGATTATATATACGGCATTTTCACCAATGAGACAGACAGCTTACTGTCAGCTTGGTGTTCTTTTCTGTTGTGCAAATCAAACACGGCTTACCCCTGAATCAACTGCTGCAGGGAGTCAAGTACACGAGGGAAAACCTGCTTTGGTTGACAGTACAAATATTGTGGTTAGATCACTGGCAAATGAGTGAGTGGCTGGTTCTCTCAAAGGAGCTGCATTCTCTGTGAATTTTCATGTGTTTGCATGTGTGTTTCTGAGTATTTGTGCCTTGTGCATTTGTTTTTCTTCAGGATGTTTGTGCATGAAGTAGTACTGTATGTTTGTTGTATGTAAAAGAAAGGATGCGATTACTGGATATGATGATTAAGGATATGATGTCGGAAAGCATCTTGTACATGTAAGTACAGTGCTTAAGTAGAATTGTGAGTTGTACTTGACTTTAATATTATGCTTCTTCACTACATTTTAAAAACCTTTGGCCTCTACTACATTTATTTGACAACTGCAGTTACATATTACTTTGATGATCAAAATGTTACAGTATAAACCTTATTATGTAAAGTGCCCTGACATGATTGTTTAATATGATTTATAAATGAAATAAAATATGTTATATACAATATAGGTACAATATTAACTATAATAAAGGATTAAAGATGAAACTACCCAGTATATAAAATAGATTAAAATGACTCCACTTTGACCACTGACAACATTAAAATGCAGCTTTCACATTTATGCATCAGTAATAATAATACGGGGCCCTATACTACAGAGTAAGTACTCAATACTATTAATGCTCTTTACTGGTCATACATCTGTACTTTCCCTGGGTGAACATACTAAGGCAGAACTTTTACTTGTCAACACTGTGTTTAGACTGTTTCTACTTTTACTTAAATCTGCATTTACTGATTTTTGTGGCCACTTGGGGGCAGTACAACAATCCTAAACACAATGCTGACATACAGTGTACAGTACCTGGATGTATTTATTATGAGCTCTCATCCATGGTACATATCATCACCTTTGAAGTTAATAGCTTGTTAGGAAACAGGTGTCTAATCACACATCCAGCAGAAGCATTGTTCATTTAGTGTTTTTATTGTTCAATTTATTGATGTAATCTACTTTCTTTTAGCTCTGTTTTGGTCTCTACCACCTCCTGAGAGTAATGTCTCTTTAGCCGCTACATGCTCCACATTGTTCACTAGTTAGTTTCTACCTTTAGCTCCATTCAGACAGCATTACTTTTTCTAGAGGAGGTTTGGTGATTTTAATAGTACCTGCCCTGTTGAGTGAATTTAATCCAGTCTGGAGGTGTGGATTATTCCCTTCTGTGATTCAGTGAACTCGCGGGCCCCCAAGAACCTAGTTGCAGACAAGCTGGTGGACTGTTGACAGTAGGAAGTTTGCGATAATAGCCAGAAGTTGTTCGCCTTAGCAGGTTTAGGATTAGGTTTAAGGTTGGGTTTAGGATTAGGAGTTACGATCTCTGGTGCTTCTGTAATTTAATCCTTGTACTTTTTTTTTTAATCAGCTCAGTGTGAAATGTGACATTTTGTGTGAAAACTATAAAAAGAGAAACACCAACATATAGGCCTAGATGGGAACAAATATGACAAGGGAAAAAATAAAGCCATGAGGAGAGCAAGACCTAATAAAAATTAATTTATTATGAAAGTTTGCAGTTGGGGTCAATCCTCTGGGACAGCCATGGTCTATAAGAGGCCCCTCCCCTCTTGCAATACAGTCCGAGTCAGAAAGAGACCCAAACTGACTATAAACAGCACAGCGGTGGCCATTTTTTCTTCTATTTGCTGTCATTTTGGGTCTCTTTGAAACTGATTTGTGTTTTTTTGTAGTATTGTTGCGACACTGTGGTCCTTTTGCATCTGTTCATAGTTGTTTTGAGTCTTTGTGGCAAATTTTCCATCTAATTTTGATCCTTCTGCACCTTTTTGTGTGTCTTTGCAAACACTCTTCATCTATTTGTTTTTGTTTTGTGTGTCCTTGTAGTAGTTTTGTGTAACTTTTTTCAAGTCATTTGATTGACCAGGCCACTCATTCTCTATCCATAACTGTCGTCTACAGGTGTTTTCTTTTGAGTGAATTATTTTTAGCCTATATTTGTTTACATTTATGCAAACTGGCATTTTTAAAAGTTAATTGGCAAGTTTAAAAGTATGCCGAATTGGCTACTAGCAGGTCATAGTTGTAACACCCATTCCTGTACAAATAGCTATCACTGGATAAATTAGATACTGAAGAAAACTTGCACGCGCTGAAGTGTTTTTTCTACAACTTCTAAGCAGGTTTGAGGATGTTCATTTGTGAGGGACGTCACTTTGTGAAGTATGAGTTGCACTGAATGATATCAATATGTGCTCCATGTCTGTGTGTTCAGAGTTGATTGACTTATGACTCCAACAATGAGGGAATACAATTTTTCCACATGCAGTATTTTTGCCTGATCCTCAGTTCTCCCTGGGGAGGCTTTTAGTTTGATCCTGCAGAATATCCACGTCTATTACAGAGCATATACTTCTGTAACAATAAGTTAAATTACCAGGGACCACAGGGAATATGTTGGCCCCCACCTCCCCTTATAGTGTAAATTTCATCAAAATGGAGCTTTTGTCTGTAGGTAGTGTACTGTGGATCCTCAGAGCTGCTGAGTTGTTGTTGTTGTAAAATCAAAACAGAGGGTTGAAAGATACTAAAGAGCTCTATAGAGCTGAGAGGAACTACAGAATCAGATGACACTATGAACAGTCCCCTTTACACTGCACATAGTCATTTGATATAAAATACTTATACATCCATCAGTAAACGATTCCTGTCAAACCTAAAGTATAACAACAACTTCAAACATTCATATTGTTCACACTTGCTTGCGCTCACTGTATAAAACTCATTCATGTGGCTGCTAATTTCAAAAATATGCCTTTGACCTACTGTGTGCATGGGCTTTGATACCTTCTTTGCGCATCCCAACACGGAAACATTTCTTCAGACGACAGTATTGGCACTGGTTGCGATGATGCTGGTCAATTTGGCATTCTCGATTTGATCTGCTCAAAGGAAACAAAAGATAAAACACTTAGGTTAAAGTGCAAAGTACAGGTGTTATGCACCAGTATTTTGCAATAGTAACCTGGAAATTCTTTAAATTCTTCCATATGAAGTGAGGCTCATGTTTACATGTTTGTCTCCGCCTTTTCTCTCCCTCTCAGTGACCCCTATGGTGAGTCAACTCTGTGATCTGGTGTGGCTGAGAGGCTATCAAGGCTGTGTGACCTTTGTAAATCATCAGCCCTACACGCCCTTGTGTTGCTTTTTACAGCAGGATGAGGTCTGCCAACATTTCAAAGAAAGCCCCGTGACGAAGTGACAAAAAAGACATCTTCTATTCAGAGTTGGCGCATTATTATGTGGAAGAAATAACTATATTCAGCAGCTGAGAGCTCCATGTGTAGGAGCAGAGAACTGAGATGTGTTCCTGTGGTGAAGAATAATGCGAGTATAATCCATCCTCACAAGGCTGACCTTCAGGGCTTTCACTTCTTATCCAAGGCTGGAACAAATAATTCTGGTGCTACTTAATCTGCTGTCTCCTTCCAGAGTGTGAATGGATATATATCAGCTTACAACATATAGAGCCTTTATAAGCAATATATACACTTTTAATCAATGATTTATAACACTATATTTTAATTGTGTACATATTTAAAGACATTAGTGTTGGTTAATGTACAGTATTTGTCAGAAGTTCAAAATTCCTCTGTAAAGATGTGTTTTATATTATTGCAACTTTATTTTCATTTACTATCTATTTATACTTCAGCACCCAGTTATGGTTGTTGATAAATACATTAATAAGCAGAATAACTGAAACGTGTCTTGTTTAATTTTATAGCTGCTGTTCAACCTATAAAGAGAACAAGACTTTGGTGTGACCCTCCCAGCTGCTCTTACCTGCAGGAGTAGCTGAGGTTTCGTCTGATGCTCCTCTTGAAGAAGCTCTTACAGCCCTCGCAGGTGAACACGCCGTAATGCTTCCCACTGGACTTGTCCCCACACACCACACAGTCCACCACACAGGCCTTGTCCTCGTCCCCAACATCCACGTCGCTGCTCCCTGCCTGGGGTGACCCGTCCTCTTCCTCCCTCTTCAGGTAAGCCTTCTCCCCCAACCCGTTAGTGTTCTTGTTGGGGTTGCCCCATCCCCCGCTGACCATGGCCATATTCTCTAAGTCAGGCAGCCCTGTGAGTGGATCATATACAAACCTGCCCTGTCTCCCAGCTTCCAGTTACCTTCAGTCTGAGAACTGATTCCAGGCTGAAAGACAGTGACTCCAGGTTTGTAATTCAAGGCAGGTTTTGTCCGAGAAGATCTAAAAGTGTCATGAAACGTAGTCCCGGTCTCTGTCGCGTTGACCTTTCTCCCCCGTGCTGTCTGGTTGGACTGACCTGGAGGTCCTTCCCTGTGCCGTTCTCTCTCTCTCTCTTGTTTTTTTGTTTGATCCCTCTGCTCTCTCTGTTCTTGTCTTTCACCCGTTTTCTGCCTTGACCTCCGATCAATGGCTCCCGAGGTCTGAGAAAACTTCAGACACACACATTTCACAGGAAACTATAAATTACACTTTGACTCCCTCTTTCTTTCTCCCTCCCTCTCACTTTCTCTCTTTCTGTCTCCCCCTCGGAAGAAGAAAAAACAACAACTCACTTATCCCTCAGCATTTTGATGAGGGATGAAATAAACTTAAAAAAAAAAAAAGATTACTCTCTCTCTCTTTCTCTCTGTCCTCACACGACTTTCCCCCTGAAAGGACCAGCAAGTGGGAGGAAATTAAAGTAGCTCTCCTTCGAGCAGGGTTTAACTGCCCTGCCCTCTCCACCAACTTATAAACTAGTCCAACCAGTTCCTGACATGCAGAGGTGTTATCTGCTCATCTGAGGCAGTTTTAGACCGAACTCACTCTTGACTTGTCGAGGCTGTTACTGAGGCAGAGGTGATAGCGATGTCCCCAACAACCGCAACAACAACAACAAAGAGGAACTGAATTTATCCCTTTTCTGTGGTGTTCTGAGTGAAGACGACCAAAGTGTCTCTTCGTACTCTGGCTCAGATACACTGTTGTGCCCTTATAAATAACCACACAGATCCAGAATATGTAGACACCGAATCCCAACTTGATATTAAAATAAGAAGAGTGGTGAGAAAGACAACACACTTCTTTCACTTCTGGAAAATGTTTCTGCAGCAACAAAGTTCATCAAAGAAGTCCCTCTCTTCTGCCTTCTGTGGTGAAATGATTTATTCTTGTGGTGAGTCTATGATGTCAGAGGCTCAAATGTCACAGAAAAACACAACAAGACAAAGACAAAAACAGAGTTAAGAAATCTTCTCAGTCG